TTGTTTTATTACCATAATAATCCAGATGTGAGTGAGAAAGTCAATACTTGGTCCTAGGGACAAGGGAGTGAAGATAGGATCTGGAAAGAAAACAGAAGATGAATTTGATCTTTTAAGCAAAACTATGGTAAAACCTTGCTTCCTTATTATAGCAGTAGTGGCGACCACATCTACGAGGAATTGGAGAGACTTAAAAAGGGTATTGAGCAATCTTTATTCTTCAGAATTTTTAGAGAGATGACATAAAACCCACAAACCATAAATATTTTGACAATGTAAAAACTAAACATTTCTGCACGGCTAAAATAACAGGACAAAGCAACAAGTATCTGACTTGGAAAATTTTATCACAAATATACAACCTTCGAAGCTATTTTTCTTAATCTACAAAGAACTCTTTAGTTTATTAAGAAAATAATGAAGGGAATCAGCAGTTAGCATAATGGCTATGTTGCTGGACTCCCACATAGTCGACCACAGTTCGCGTCCGGACCCCGGTGGCTTAAAACTCATGCCGGGTGCGTGTGCGTGCATGCCCAAGATCCCGAGAGGAGAATGGAGGAGAAGGGATTGCGGCGTGACTATCCCCCCTGGGGGGTGATTTCTTGCTTTCTGTCTCTATGTCTCTCTCTCTCTCTGTCTGTCAAGCGCACATGCCCTATAGCAAAAACCTCTCCAAAAAAATAAAATAAAATAAAATAAAATAAAATAATGAATATCTTAAAAAAAAAAAACAGATAAACAACATGATAATTCACAGAAAGAGGAATTCATAGGCCAGTAAGCATTTTGAAATAGGGTAAATTTATAAACGAAAGAAATCACATTTAAGCATGAGATACCACTTTGACCTAGCAGGTTGGCAAAGATTAATTCCTATATTACATGGAACACCCATGAAAATGAAGCACACCTATGGGTTTGAGTGGAAACTGAGTTCTTTCAGGAAGATAATTTGTCAGTATGTTCCAAATTAAAGCATGTAATCCAAACCCTTTTCTTGGAAGCTGTCTGTTATAGCCACCACCCACCTTTCCCATTTTATAAAAATAAATGTATTTGGGATCAGCAGATGATGTAATGCTTACATCACTGGATTCCCACATAGTCAACTGTGGTTGGAGTCCTAGACCTGGAGGCTTCAACCTCATGCCAGGCACATGTGCGTGCGTGCCCAAAATCCCCAGAGGAGAATGGAGGAGAAGAAATTGCGATGTGGTCGTCCTGCTCGGGGATAATTTCTTGCTTCCTGTCTTTCTGTCTCTCTGATGAGTGCATGTGCCCTATAAAAAAAAAAATCTCTAAAGAATAAATAAATACATAAAATAAATGTGTCGAAAGACACCCAATAAACTTTACTAGTAGTTACTTTTGGGGTATGGGGAAGAAAAGAGAGATGCTTGCTTTTCATTTTGTCTGCTTTTGCACTGTTTGAATTTCTTAAATCAGGTGTTTGTATTTTATTTTTAAAAAGTTAAAATTGTTGCTCAGAGATAAAAGCATGCTTAACCACTAAAAAAGCCTTACCTCTGAGCTGATGGTCTCATATGTAAATCCCACAGTTAACACTCAGACATTTAGTTGAACAAACAAGCTATCAATGCCCAAATGCAATGTGAGATGGTTTCTCAGTAAGTTGCCTCAAAAGCCAACTATAACTGGTCCCGGACCCGGTGGCTTAAAACGCACGCCAGGCGCATGTGTGTACGTGCCCAAGATCCCAAGAGGAGAATGGAGGAGAAGGGATTGCGGCGTGACCATCCCGCCTGGGGGGTGATTTCTCGCTTTCTGTCTCTATGTCTCTGTCTGGCGAGCGCACGAGCCTTATAGCGAAAAACCTCTCAAAAAAAAAAAAAAAAAAAGAAAAGGCCAACTATAACTGTTCAAGAAAATGTTCTCTCCAGACTTTATAGGGTTCTTTGGGTTGTGGCTTTATAGGGTTCTTTGGGTTGTGACTTTGCTAAGAAACCTTCTGTGGGCAGGCTGTTTTCCTGCTTCAGAGCCCTTTCCTCGCCCTGTCCAGCTGATTGCTTCAGGCCCATAGATGTGTTTGTACTTCATGCCTCATCACATACATGCACTATGCTTTGGGCTTTTAGAATGTGCTAGAAGGTTCATGGTGTAGGTAGATTGAGCTACCGCTAGCAGTTGGTAGGGTTTAGAGTAGCTGAGAAGAACTAGAATAAGAGCTACAAAGGCATAGTGTGACTACTGTCATGATAACAGTAGTGACAATGACAGTTCATTACATTTTTAAACTTTTATAGTAAAAAAATTCACGGTACAGCACATGCACTTACATGAGAGAGACAGAGAGAAAGAAGACCCTTCCTGGCTTGGACATGCCTTGATTCCCTTCCTCTAGCCATCCGGCCTGCTAGGCTCCTAGGCACATGCACACAGGCCCAGTGTGTTTTCAGGCCAATCAGGCCTGGGACTTGAACTGCTATTGGCATGTGGCTTCTAGCTCTACTCTCTGATATGCTATCTACATGCTGCCGAGGCTAGGCCAGCAGCTGTTTTTGGATGGCTTACCACATGTCCATATATTCACATTCCGCATTTCATGCAAACCTCTCAGCAGCTGGGAGAAGTCAGCATGATGAGCCCTGTGCTGTGGGTGGGGCGACAGGCTCTGAGAGCCTGGATGTAGTGAAGCAACTGAGTTGGAATTCACATGAGGCCTGCCCACCCAACTCTAAGGCCTAGTGTTCAACCACTGTTCTAGGGGAGCCTCTCATTAAAGTGGGCGCTAGGAGATGGGTCTGACCACTGCCCTGACAGGTCGCCTCAGGATTCCTAGAGTCACACTACTGGACCTGCCTCAGATTCTGGACTCTGGGGTACAGCTCCTGGTTATGGTAGTTGTGGTTGTGGGTGTTCGTGGAAGGCTGTGCCAGGGAGGAACAATGCGGCGAAATGTGTCCTAGGGGAGTCTGTGAGGAAAACAAAGGGGTGACACTTCTTCCTGGGAACACATGTAGCAGCAGTACCTTATTATTTGTAGCTTGCCTTCAGTCCATCAGGAAACACTGCAGAACCCCCATTTCGATGGAGCCATGCCTCTCCAGTGCACACAGCTGGGCCGACCTTGGATGGTGACCAACCAGGGCCAGCCTCGGCTGCCCCAATCCCCCGTGGTCACTGATTCAGCGGATCGCATGTGTCCTGGGCCTCAGAATGCTGATGAGGCAGTTCATCTTTGACTTTCCTTTTCATCCCTCATGACAGCCACCACATAGCGTTTCCTAGAATCTGGCTGAGGTCCCACTACGAGGGAAGGCTCAGAACTGGAGTGTCTGGAAAAGTCGCCCGTGGCCACGAGAGGGGCAGGGCAGGATGGCGCTGATGTGGCTTTAGCTAGCTGACGACTACACCAAGTGCTAGAGCTGCCTCCGGGGGCTGCTGGGTAGGGAATGGAGAACCAGTACCCAAGGCAGGATGCTGAAGTCACTGCAGCTGATTCCAGGGGCTTTTTTTGGACAGGTTTCTGCAGTCTCCCCTGCTGTTATGGGCCCTGGAGGCTCGAGTGGGGGTGTGGGGCAGTTTGCTGGGAGCCAGGATAGAAAGTATGTAGTCCTCATTGAGTGTTTCCTAAGGTCTTGGCACGGTGCTGGGTGTTTGAGGCGGGCTCTCTCATTCTTCCCTTCACAGTGGCCCAATGAGGTAAGATGTTCCCATTTTACAGATGTTCAGAGGCTCAGGAACTTGCCGCAGCTAAAAGGCAGCCAGGGTTCTGGTGTAGGAAACGTGGGCTCCAGAGCCAGTCTCTGTATCCCACCTCCTGCCTGCTGCTGCTGAAGAGTCTCTGGTAGATGGTGTCTGCTCCAAGTCTCCGCTTTGGACTCCAGTAACTGCGGGTGGTGGTCTCAGGGGGCTGGGAAGATATGACTTTTCTCAGGGCTAAAGAACTGGAGGTGTGGAAGGGACCTTGCTGGCTCATTGAGTCAGAGATTTCCCTGATGTTCTGGCCCATTCCATCTTCTTTGAGTGGCATCTCCCATCTGGAAAGGGGCTGAATGTTGGCAAGCATGCTGGAAGTGAATTCCACCAGGAAACGACCCCACATTCCTAGACAAGGTGTGTGCAGGACAGCGGAGGCCTGGCTGAGCTGTCCTGGTTGAGGAGGCTGTGTGGGGACACCCCTCCACCCCCCACCCTGGCTGTGTTCTCCTCCATGTGCCTCTTCAGCACTTTCATTCTGGGCCATCCAATGGGGCACTTCCCTGTGTCCACTGTGTTGTTGTCTAGCATCTGGATGTTTCCTGTCTGCACTGCTGTTTCCTCGAGGGAAGGACTGCACCTCCTCAGTGTCACAGGAAGATCTTGACCATTTGTGTCTGTGCTGCTTTTTGAGGGTCTCACTCTCCCTTCCCCTGCTCCTGCATGGCTCTGTGGCTTGCTTCAGCGGGAGGCTGAGCAGCCTGACTCTTGTCTTACACGCTCTGGCATCAGCATCCCTACATGTTCTAATTGACCCGAGAGCCTTTTGGGGGGGGCACCTGCTTGGCATCTTGATTTGTAGCCAGTTGGACCCCATCCCCTCTATCACATGACTCTGACTTGACATAGGACATTGCCATCACGGTATGCAAACAACAGAAAGTAAATTTCGCACAGCGATCACAGTTTAGCAGAAGGCCCAGCAGCTTTCAGGCCTGCAGTAGCTTGCAGGATGTTGGGGGTATGAAGAGCAAAATTGAGCATGGGCCCCTTGCACAGGGCTTGCTGGACTTCTGGAGCATGATGAGGGTTTGCTGAAGCACCAGGAAGTACTTGGCTCTTGTGAGCACAGCTATTTTCAACGAAAAGTCCTTATTATTAAGAAAACCAGACAACACATTAATTTGTGTAGATAAAAAGTAAAATTCGCTGGCCACCCTCCTCCCCAGGAACCTGTATCAAGGAGGGACTCTGGGTCTTAAGCCTGGTTGGTCTCTGTAAAGCACTGTGACCTTGTCTTTCTCAAAGCTAATCATGGTTCCTCTTTTTTTCTGCAGAACACGGAGAGTTCCTGGCTCTGGACCTTGGCGGGACCAACTTCCGTGTGCTTCGGGTGAGAGTGACAGACAATGGGCTCCAGAAGGTTGAAATGGAGAACCAGATCTATGCCATCCCCGAGGACATCATGCGGGGCAGTGGCACCCAGGTATGCCCCTCTTCTCCCAACAGCCACTGCTCTGCAAAAGCCTTCCTTGGGGTGGTTCTTCTGCACCTTCCCCAGAGGTGTCCATTCGGGGATAGGAGTCATTGATGACATTCCTGGATGCGAGCACAGTTGTAGGGATCCCTGTGGGCTGGGGCCCTGGCCATTCCTGTCATAGTTCATAACCAGCGTGTGCTCACTAATAAAAGGACTGCATGGAGGAGAAATGTGAAATCCCTCACTGCCACGCTTGGGCCTCAGGGCTTGGAAGAGGAGTAGGTCTAATTCTTTCCACCACACCAGGCCACCTCCTGGGAAAGGAATTTCTGACCATGGGTAGAACATGCGGGGAGGTATTTTTAGGCCCTTTATTTATCTTTGGGAGGTGGCCCTGAACAGGGAAAATCTGCTTCCTTCATCTGATGCTGAGGTTGGAAATGGGAAACTGGATTCTTGGGACTGTGGTATTTTACCTCTACCGAAGTTGTCCCAGAGCTCCAAGTACCATGTCAAGAAGGGCACAGAGAGGGTCGCAGCTTCTCCACTGCTCCCTCAGGCCTACACCATGCTGACGAGTTGCAGACATTGAGTCCTGCATTGGGGCAATCTCGCTGTGTGGTTTTGGGCGAGTGCTAGCACCTGGCAGAGCTTCCGTTTATTCATCAGTAAAGAGGGATGATAATACCTAGATGCTGGTGTGGGTTAGAGGAGACTGTGTCTGCTAAATATTTAACACGATGCCTACATATAAATGGTGGTCATACAATTCTTTTTTACTTTTTTGAGAGACTTTGCTATAGAGCACGTGTACTCCTTGGAGAGACAGAGAGACCGAAAGTGAGAAATCACTCCCCCCACCTACCCCCTGGGGGGATGACCTCGCTGCAATCCCTTCTTGTGCATTATACTCTCGGGATCTTGGGTATGCACCCACGTGCGCCTGGCATGAGTTTTAAGCCACCAGGTCCGGCATTTGAACCAAGGTCTACTACGTGGGAGTCCAGTGATGTAACCATTATGCCATCTGCAGGTCTCAATGGTCTTACAAGTCTTTTGGGAGGTGTTATTGTCTGTTCATCAAATTGCTTCTTCCTACTCTGCTCAGTCTGGCCAGTAATGGCATTGTTTGCTATCATGGGGGATATGGTTAGCTTTTCTTCCCATTGCTTCCACCTCTCCAGATTACAAATATTTGAGAACCAAGTATACAAAACCAAACCAAAAAGAACACCTGGTGTTTGGCTGTGATTGTCAAGAAGACTTGTAGCATGATGATGATGGATTGGGTGGATTTTTAAGTTTTAAGACAACGGCAGACTCAATGCATTTCTATCTGATCTCCACAGCCTGCTGCTCTGACCTTGTCGACATGGCAGGCCCAGATATCTCATAGCCCACACGGCACCTTCCCCAGGATCTGGGGAGGGCTGGGAACTCCTGAAGACAATAAAGTGTGTCTTTGCCAGTCCAGAGGGAGAACTCAAGACCTGAGAAAAGTTTTACTTGAAAAACTTACCTTATAAATGTCAAACTACCTAGTGAGAAGGCGTGAAGAAAATTACATCTATCCTCCTTATAAACTGAATGCTTTAGTCCAAATTAAAACAAAAAACAAAAAAACAAAAAACTATGATGATCACCTGGAAGAAATCCTCCTTATAAACTGAATGCTTTAGTCCAAAATAAAAAACAAATAAACAAACAAACAAACAAAAAACTATGACGATCATCTGGAAGAAATAATAAAAACTATTGAGATATCAAAAATATTTTGAATAAATTGAAAAATAATATAAAAATGAAAGCGGTCAACCCTGTGTCCTAGTGGTTAAGGAAGCTAGATCCCACATGGCCAACCACGCAGTTCAAATCCCAGTCCTAGTGGCTTCAAAAACATCATGGGCATGTGTGCATAAGTGCCCCAAATCCTGACCGTGTAGAAAAATGGAGAAGGGATTGTAGTGTGATCATGCCCCGTGGAGTGCTTTCTCCTCCCTCTCTCTGCCTCTGTCTTTTTCTTGTTGAGTGTACATGCCCTCTGGCAACTTACAAAAGAGAAAAAAGAAACAGAAAGGTGAGGAGGAAATATTTATTTCCTTAAGGAAGGGAAAGAACTTATATGCCTGAAAGCAAAAGAAATGCTTGAGAAAACCACTGGAAGGAATTTCATATTGGCTATTTTAGTGGTGGAATTACTGGTGCTATTTTCTCCTACTCCCTCTAGGGAGTAGGTACTAGGTTTCAATATATGTATTTTAGTTTACTTATTTCTCTTGTAAGAGTGAGAGACAGAGAGAGAAGAGAGGGAGAGAGAGAGGAGAGACAGACCAGCAACCGTAACAGAATCTCATGCTACCATCTCCCTCAGCCTTCCTAGCTTTCCCAGGACCATGGACACGTGTGTCCAGCATGGACAGGTCAACCAGTGAACCAAAACTGTGGACTTCCATATGGATCCAGCATTGCTGAGCAGTGCATTACTGCTGCGCTACCTAGCCAGTTAGCGATAGTTTAATAAAAGGAAAACGAATAGATTTTAAAAATGCAAATTTGTTAAAGCCAAGACCAAATCACCAAACCCCAAATTTGGAAAGGTTTTAGAACTATGGACCTGGGCAGTGCAGGTCCTGAGGTAAAATCTGTCTCTGGCATGTTAATTAGCATGTGGGAGCAGTGGTTTGCAAAGCTGAATATCAATCACTTCAAGACTTTTAGTGTGTATCTTTGATGTGTACTTCGTGAGAAGAGGAGTGAGCAGAGTCTGTGACTAACAGGGGAAAGGAAACCTTCCTAACTTCATGAAGTGAGGCTTTTTGAGCCTTTTTATGGCAGGAGAGTGTTAGCTCTTTTCCCCAACATCTTATCTTTCACTCCTCAGCTAACATAAAAGGAGGCAGTCTAACAACTCAACGAAGCAGCTGATCTCCTCTTCCCCAGGATTAAAAAGGTGCAGGGACCAGCAGTTGGCATAATGGCTATGTTGCTGGACTCCCATGTAGTTGACTGTGGTTCGAGTCCCAGACCTGGTGGCTTAAGCTCACGCCGGGTGCATGTGTGTGCGTGCCCAAGATCCTGAGAGGAGATCTATTGCTGAGTGAAGTAAGCCAGGCTATGGAAGGAAGATATTGTATGTATCCACTTAATATTACCGACGATCTGCACTCTATGGTAGAGAGTGAAATATTGGAGGACATAAAAGCAGTGAAAGTACTTAACGAGAATAAGACTGTGGAATGGGGGGGTGAAGAGAAGAGGATAGAGAAAGATAGCAAGAGAACAAATAGAGAGGCAGGACGTTAGTGAGAAGCAGTTATAGCTTATTACCTGTTGATGATGACATGTATAGTATTCTCAACTGGATTGGTCTGAGAAGTATTTCATGATGGGTAAAGTCTTTTTACAAGCAAAATGAGAAATAGTGATTGTTTAAAAAATAATTGGAATAATAATAATGAAGATTGGGAAAAACAATGAAAAGATATTGAATGATGAAGTGGGGAGATTAATGTCTCTGTATTGACTGACATGCATGGCATTCCCTTTTGCAAAAGCAGTGTAATACACTGTAACGTTATATGCAATCCAATGTAATATAAACAAGATTATGATGATAATAAATAAATAAATAAATAAATAAATAAATAAACAAATAATTAAAAACAAAACAAAAAACCTCTCCGAAAAAAAAGAAAAGTAAAGGTGTAGTTTCTGGGGCCAGCAGATGGTGTAACGGTTACATTACTGGATTCCTTCATGGCCGACTGCAGTTTGAGTCTCAGACCTGGTGGCTTAAAACTTACAATAGGTGCATGTGCGTGCATGCCCACGATCCCGGGAGGAGAATGAAGGAGAAGGGAGTGTGGTGTGGCCATCACTCCTGGGGGGGCTCTCTGGGGGATGATTTCTCACTTTCCCTCTCACTTTCTGTCTCTCTCTGGTAAGCACATGCACCCTAAGTCAAAAACCTCTTTAAAAAAGAAGAGGTGCAGGTTCTTTAAACCCAGCTCTAGTCAATGGCACTTTCTGCAGTGGTGGACCTGTTCTGCATCTGCTGTGCAATACAGTGGCCACTACCACCGGGGCACTGCACACTCAAAATGTAGCTAGTGTGACTGATAAAGTACGTTCTTATTTTTATTTTTAATTTTTCCACAGGGTGTATGTGCTTGCTGGAGAAAAAAGAGAGAGTTAGGAGAACTCCCCATGGGGAATGATCATACCACAAACCCATCTCGTCCATTTCTCCCTCCTTTTGGGATTTTGGGCACACATGCACACACGCCTGACATATTTTTCAAGCTTTGGGGTCTGGAATTCAAGCCCTGTAGTCAGCCATGTGAGATCTAGTCAACTTCACCACCACACCATGGGCTGGCCTGAATTTTTAGTTTTTAAATGTTGTTATTTACTCATTTATTCTACAAGAGAGAAATGTAGAGAGAGGCAGCACTTCCAATAGGGTCTCAACTGCATGACCTACCTCGCCTCAGCTGGCCTCAGACCAGAGGCACACGTGTCGGGTACATTCAGTGAGGTCTCCTGATATGAACCTGGAAACTGCCCATGCGGGTCCACCTTGTGGAGCATTGGGTTTTACTACTGCACTACAGTCTGGGCCCCTGAATTTTTCATTTTAAAATATTCTAATTAGGAGCCAGCATTTGGTGTGGTGATTAAGGTGCCAGACTCCTACATGTGTCAATGCAGTTTGAGTCCCAGGTGGCTTGGAAGTTGTATACCCAACACCCTGAGAGGAAAGTGGAAGGAGAAGGGATTGTGGTGTGGCCATACCCCCAGTGGGTGATTTCTCACTTTTTCTCTGTCTCTTTCTGTCTTTGGTGAGTGCATGCACTTTTGGAAAAAAAAAAATCTTAAAAAAATAAAAAATTTGAATTAATCAAAATAGCTACAGGTGGCCACTGGATACTTCATTGGGCAGAGCAGTATTTCCTTCCTCTTCACTGCCTTCCTCTTCTCTGCCTCCCCGTTGGGAGCGCACCTAGAAAAGGGGCAGTGGTCAGGGCTGGGGGAGGGGAACCGTGTTTCCTTTTGCCTCATCCCTTGAAAAGCTCCTCTCCCTCCTGCCAATCTTTGATGATTAGCCTTATCTTTTTGCACAGCTTTTGCACTTCCTTTGTTTTGGATAAAAACTGTGTCCTAAAGACCATTTTGACTTGAGTACCAGGATGAAGGTGCTGGGAATTTAAGATATGTAATTTGTCTAAGATCAACTTTCCAACAGGACTTGCTGATGATCTCTCTAGAATCCCTGTTTATATATGAATCCATATTGTATATTAAATACTTGGGAGTTGGCTTCTGTGGCACTGGTGATCCCCTTGGCAAGAGAGCCCTCTCCTTGCCCAGCTCTTGAATGTTTTGGCTTAGAGGTCAAAGGTTCAGCATCGGCTCTGGTTAACTAAGCACAGGACCAAACAGAGACACAGAATTGATACAGGAAGTTTGATTAGAGCTGGTCGCCTTTCAGATAAGAGTGGCCTTATCTTCCTGGGTTCCTCTTGCAAATCATGCCCAAAGCATCAGGGGAGCCAATAGGCCTGTCTACCTGCCTCCCCAACCTCTCAGTTCCTTTGTAAATGCAAATACTTATAGTGGTTAAGTGCAGTGGTTTTAGGACCACCGTATCAGGCTTACCATCAGGATTACCTTGAAGACTTATTACTAGATGGCTGAGCCCCATCTTCTGGGGTGAGGTCCTAGAATTTGCCTTTTTTTTTTTTTTTTTTTTTTTTTGGGGGTTTTTTCTATAGGGCACCGGTTCTCGCCACACTGCTATAGGGCACATGTGCTCGCCAGACAGAGAGAGAGAGAGAGAGAGAAAGCAAGAAATCACTCCGCAAGGGGATGGTCATGCCACAATCCCTTCTCCTCCATTCTCCTCTTGGGATCTTGGGCACCCACACCCACACGCCCCACATGAATTTTAAGCCACCGGGTCCGGGACTCGAACCATGATCGACTACATGGGAGTCCAGGGACATAGCTATTACGCTAACTACTGGTCCCTAGAATTTGCATTTATAATACCCAGGGGATGGTGGTGCTAGGACCACGTCTGGGGAACCAATGGTTTAGTTGACTCTTCCTTGCTTCTTCCTGGAGAGGAAAAGGGCAGTTGTCCTCTTCCACGCCTCCCTTGGCTTTTATATTTTTGTCAGTTGGTCAATCTTGTTTTTGGAATCTGATCAGCGTCTCTGGCCTCTGCTTACTTTTTGCACCAGAATGCCCGGGCTTAACCTTGAAGTATTGGAGGGCTACCAGCTTCTCTTAGAGTACTTAGCAGGCAAAAGGGAAGGCAGAGGCTTGTGGGCTTGGTGCTGATTGAAAGCCTGGCTTATAGTGAATACAGCTTTTTCTAAGGCTTGGGAGTTGTAGGTCCTACCCAGTGTGGTCACAGTTGTGAGGCTGCCCATCCACAAAACTCTGTTTATTCTTCGGGGCTCTTCAGGCACTCACTGGGTGTTCCATTTAGAAATCAGAAAACAAAGATAACTTATTTGAATTGCCCCAGGAGATTAATTTTCTAGAAAGGAGGGAAAATAGAAAAGTTATTTATTCTTGTTAAGTAGGTTCATAGAATGCCAACAGAGAATGCTCTACCCCTCCCGCCTCACAAGAGATATGGAGGCTGAACTACTTCTTGGCAGTGAGAGGTACTGTCTTTTCTTGTAAGACAGTCATCTGGGTGTCCATGTCAGGGGGTTTCTGACAGGGCCACCAGAGGATGTTCTGTTCCCAGGGCATGCGATGACTTTCTGATTAGCGCTGGCCATGGTTTCCTCTCTCTCTCAGGGTTACTTTGACAGC